ACTCCTTTCAACTATTCATTCAACATGTACAACTGAAGATGAGGATAAACCAGAAATAAGTTTATTATAATCAAAATAAGGGTGGCATAGATGCCTTAGACTAGGGTTTCCAAATTCCTGACATTTTGGAAACTTTGAGAATTGATAATGGAAAATCATATTTCAGGAATTCTTCAGATTAGATTATTAGATTAGAAAGATTATTTCAGGAATTCTCAAGAATTCCTGAAATAATCTTTTATTTAATTTTTATTTTTTATTTAATTTTCATTGATCATCTGTAATAATGTCTATAGCAGTTTTGGAGTAAAAATGGCAATGAGCCAATTTGTTACCTTTTCTAAAATATTCCCAACATTCTTTATACTTTTTACTCATTGTGATGACAATCTATAAAAAATTATTAAAATATATATTTATTAAAAATAATAATTGATAAAATTAAGAAAGACCTATATTGCACAGTGAATATTTATAACTAAAAAGTACCACCAAACATTATAATATGAGATTGGAAATTATAGTAATATTGGAAATAAAATATTAGCAGTGCAAGTTGTTTTTAAATAAACTGAATACCCACAGCAGCTGAGAGCTAAGAACACTCACAAACAAACATCACAATCATCAGCTACAAACAAACTGATTGAATGTGGTTGGTAGTATCGGCCATCACTGTAGAAATGATTCATCATGAAGAACAGAACAGTTTGTGTTTACACAGAGAAATTTTTATTTTCACAACCCAGGATTTGACTGCAATGTCAAATTAAGGTAAGCTACCCTATACTTCTTAAGTTAGTTTACCTGAAGATGACTGTAGTCAAATCCTGGGTTGTGAAAATAAATATTTCTGTGTAAATACAAACTGTTTTCTGTTATCCATGATCAAATGTGTTCAATTTACAAGAGTTAAAATTAGAAGATCATGTGTTATCTGATTCTGGTGTCATGTAATATTGTAACACAGTATAACTTTAAATAGCAATAAATAGGAAAAATGTCTAAAAGATACATTGTGAATAGTATGTTTATTTTCCATTGTGATTTTACCAACTTCCCGACCAACTTTTCTCAGGATTTGGGAATGGGAAATGAAAAAAATTCCCAAGAACAGATAGAAATTCCTTCCTGCCCAGAAACCCTATGTTACACCAAGTAGAACATGAATACACAACTAAAAGAAAGATAAATCATAAATCATTAGCCATTTGCTTTTTCTCTGAATATACTAGTCTGTTGTGTTGTTGCTGCTTATGTAGTCTGGACTAAAACTTATACTCAGATTGAAATAGTAACAAACATGAAAAGCAACAAATTTGTTTGAAGGAACTTACAAAAGCTTTGATTATTTCACACACTGAATGATGAAAAAGTGCTATCAGTCTACACAGAATAATACTCAATGTAATGAATAAATTTCTCAATACTATTTCTATGGATGAAGGTCATTCTAGTGGAAGAACAACAAAAGAAAAATGATGCTTTATATGCTCTGTGAAGAAGACTTGAATGCAAAAACAACGATGTGACGTTTGTAACAATAGTATATGCAGTGAACATTCAGTAAAATAAGGTCCAAATAAAATTTGCTGGCATAATGTATTACAAAAGGACTAATAAAAAACATGTTTTATATTAAATTAATAATGTTGCTTGAAATAAAAATACCATAAAAGAAAAATATTTATTAAACCAAAGAATTAATGCTGAGACCAATGGACTCAGCATTAATTCTTATAACACAGTTCATCTGGTGAAGGGTTTATCAGTTTAGCAACAATATATACATTTAGAATTTATAATATAAAAATTTATAATGAACAATCATCATCTCTATTATATGAAATAAAACCAAATGATATGATTAAAGTTTGGTAATGATAAAATNCGGCAAATTCAGAATTCATCAATGGACGATTATTACTCCTAGAGACAAAAAAGATACCGTATTACATTATAAATACATATTAAATTCAAGCATTATAAATTAAAATTATTATTACAACACTAAACATTATATCTGAATTGTATAAATATAAAAATTTATAATGAACAATCATCATCTCTATTATATGAAATAAAACCAAATGATATGATTAAAGTTTGGTAATGATAAAATCAACAAACTGATATCAGATGTCAGTACAAATATTAGTTTACTTAACAGAACAGAAAAATTAGGTATTAAATATAATGCAACTTAAATTGAAAAAAATTAAAGTGGTCTGTAAACATTATATATTTACATATATACCTCTAAAAATACTGAATATTTAAAACTGAAAAAAAATTTGCAAATGATAAAAAGTGAATTATTGAAATTTATATCGTCAAAACAAAATTTCCATTTCTAAATGATGAGTAAATAAGGAATAAGTTTAAAATAATAAATGGAAATATTTTTCCTTTAAACAGTCTATAGCAGGGGTCGCCAAAGTGGTTGATATCGACCCCCAGGGGTTGATGCAACATCATTGGGGGGTCAATGCGACTAGGGGGTCGATGCAACATCATTGGGGGGTCAATGCGACTAGGGGGTCGATTAAGGGGTTGATGCGGCTAAGGGGTCACAACCTTTTTTCTTTTTTTCTTATATAGAGACCACAACGTTTTTCTTTTTTTTTGGTCATACACATACACTTGTAATAAAACTTTATGGTGGGGGTCAATATGAGGCTTTGGAAAGTGGTTGGGGGTCGACGGTTAAAAAAGTTTGCCGACCCCTGGTCTATAGGGTCTACAAATGTGTGTGAAATATATTGCTTGTTGTATATAAATAAAGTAAATACAATACAAAAGTAATATTAGACAAACAAAGATTAATTAAACTAAAAGCTTGAGGCCTAAATAACTAGGTCAAAGTACTGTCAACTGTTTGTTTACGCTAAATCAGTTACATATTATCTATGACTTAAGTCAATGAACTAAATCATCCTAAATATTAAACAATTTAAATATATTTGACTACAGCTGCTGCCATTATTGATATTATTTTGATTTACTATAGTAGTTTATCAACCTTTTCTTATTGTGGCACCCTAACTTGGGTAATTTTTTGATAAAATTGCAGATCTGAATAAAGTGGTTGACCTTATCAGAACTATAGACCAGCGATTCCCAACCTTTTTTCATTAGCATAACCCCGTGGCATTTCCAACTTCCCAACCAGCAATGCATACACAAATCTCACACTGCCTGTTTGTAGAGAGTGTCGCCACTTTGAATTTTATTTTGACTCAGTTCTCGGTCCCAAGTACCTACAAGTCTGTTTTTTTATGCGTGCATGATTTGGGCACCTAATACTCTGTGCCAAATTGCAACTTCTGACATGTACTCCTTCATACCTCTAAGCTGGTAACACAGCAAGCAGTACGATTTTATAAACAAGACAGTCTTGTCAATAAAAAATTAATAAAAATACTGAATAAATAATGAAAAAAATTACCGCTTGTAGAGAAAATCTAGAGAAACTAGCTATGTCCTTTTCCTTGCTAACAATAAAAAATACTTTTTATAAACAAACAAAAATACTTTTTTCAAACAACATGTGGGAATATTGTTGAGAGATGATGATAATAACGGTAACATACCCCACCATCAACAGTCTGTAACATAATCACTAATCATGCATAATGGTATCCCCACTATCATTGACCAACTGCGTAACATTTATTGATCAACAGATCAATAAATGTTGCAATTATTGCATTTTACAATCAACAGCATAAGTTTTTGTTTCTATTTTTGCATTTTGAAATGTATAATAAAGTTTGTGATTATTGCAAGGAACATTTTTTACGTAATAATTCTTTAATACTATTAATTTGTGATATATAATATATTATTTTTTCTACCATAATAACTAACTTCTTTCTGTACCTCTAAACAACTTATTGTGTACCCCAAGGGTATGCATATCCCAGGTTGGAAATCGCTGCTATAGACCATGCCCATAGGAGTAAAAAAAACTCAAAGGAACCAATGGTCAACACATGACCCTTCATGAGATATAGCCCCCAAAATCAGCCTGTAAACCAAACAACAGTCTTAACAAAGCATACACTGTGACTCCAATTGCATTGCAGAACTAGTTGGTGCAGTGGCATTTCTCACGTTTTATGACTTTTTAGCCATCTCTAGTAAAGTGGAAACAATCAATTTTTATCATTGTTTTGAGGAATAGTTTTAAAGTTTTTGATTTTTAAATTTTACCCCATTTTTGGAATCTTCAAAATTTCATCTCATGAAAAGACACACACAGACCATCGATTCCTTCAACGTTTTTTACTCCAATCAGGTCCCATCTCATTCAGAGATGTAACTGTACCCAAAAATCAATTAACCATAATAAAACTAAATTTCTGTCCTATTAAAATATTTAAAAAACACTCAAATCATATATATTTTTATAAGATTTCTTGTATTTTGTAAAAGAAAAAAAAGCACATTCTAAACCTAGTTTACAATTCACATTCGCAAACGACCCTGGAACAAAAACAAAACACAGTTAATTAACTACCGGGCCACCCTATATTTATATATTATGTAAAAATACCATCTGACAATAAAACTAATATATTTTCATTCTGTTTGTATCATCAGATTTTATTATACTTTCCTTTATTTTGCAATTCATTAATTTGGGTTACTTCCTTGAACATAACCTGTTTTACATATATTTTAATTTATAAAATAATCACTCAATTTTTAAATGCATTCTTAACTGTTCTATTCAAAAAAGAACAGTTATAAATGTTCCATATCTTTTTAAAAACCATGAAAATGGCCTTTAGAACAAGTTGAAAATGTTTGTTAGGATTAATAAATAATTGTATGGGAGATGAGGTGTTATGGAAATTAAAAAGCATCTAACTGGGTATTAATTAAGAATTAGACAATTAATGCTGTTAATACAGTTTTCTCATTAGGTTAAATACGTTCTTTTATACCCTAACGACCTTTACTATTTAAGAATAAACAAATACTTTTGTCCTTACCACTGATCTTTGGAAAAATGTCCCATGTTTTGTCGATTCATTTCCCAAGGTTTTAATGGAGATGTCATTTTATATATTATAGTCTTCCCTCTTATTATAAATGGCCGAATAATCTATATAATACATTCAATAATCCATATTTTATGGAAAAAATTCTCTTGTACTTTAAATTACGCAAAACGATATTTCACAGTCGTCACAGACGATACTTCTTAATTAGCCCTCTGGTGGTTGTTTAAAATTCGATTTTATAATGTCTTTAGAATATTAATTTGTATGGAAATTTTATATTATTATTATTATTTCTCTCTATTAAATATCGAGTCGATATAAAATATGCGTTATTTTATTCTACGTCCTTAAGTTTTTTTGATATTTCAATATTTTATTGTAGGATGGAAGGGCGGGATTGAGATCAGCAGTGGTAAAACAAAAATAATGTCATCACAATAAAAATCAGAATCGAAAGTCAAACAATGGATGAAGTAGAGGAGTTTTGCTACCTTAGTAGCATGTTATTAGGAGATGGAGTCGTTGAAGTTGATATAAAACGCCGACTTGGTAAAACATCGGCTGTCTTGCTCAACTCGGTCCACACGAGTAATTAGTGTAGCGACTACAGTGGCTAGAAAATATAGTGTCGAAAGCGCTTATATTCCTCCATTATAACCGTTCGGTCCATACACGTCACAGACAAGGTGGCGCTGATGTCAATCGTACTGCTACTTTCGCTTTGGCTACGTGATATCCTTACTTACAAGAACATCGAAAGCGATTAAATTTGTGCTTGTAAAGTGAATAAATCCTTAGGAAATGGCTGAACAGAAACTTTACTGACTTGTGTATTTATAGATATTACTCTACTGTAATTTTTAATTCTTTTATTTTTGTCGAAAAGGGTGAGAAATCTACATGCATATTAATCTGTAATTTTTTAAGAGAGATTTTTCAAATATAAAGTGTATATGCATGGGCACTTGGCAGTAGACTAATAATCGTTTATTTGTACATACTTAATTTTGTAATTTTATATTGGGACAATAAAGTAACATTCTGCCTTTATATTTTATATACTGTGTAGAATTTAATTGTAATTTTAATATTGCTTTATACTATGTCACTTAATACTGTGAACAGTATACAGTATTATGTAACTGATGGCATTTGCTTAATAAATTCTATTTTAGGCCCTCACAGTGGAAGAGGTTCACAAAGCCATATAAAACTTACATTTTATTATTAAAAATATGATAAATTCTGTATTTTTTTAGTAAATATGAATAAACCTTGTTGTTAATAAGGTAATAACAAGAGTAGATTACTCTTGTACTCTAAATAATACTTGTTTGTACAGCACTCAACAGCTGTAATGTAAAAATAGACAATACAGTGTAGGCTATTTGATTTAATAAGAATCTTAATTAGCTTTAATAAAATGAATTCCTTCATAAATGTTAATAAAGTAATACTATATAATAATTGATTGCTAGTGATATGATTTATTATCGATCTAAATTCTTTTACTTGGCTACAGCACATTTACTATGCTTAAAAATCCCACTTAAAACCAATATAAACATAGGAAGATACAGCCAGTGTAGCACAACGATTGACAGCAGCGCCTCTTGCGGCAACCTCCAATATAGGGACAGAAAATAAGCTCGATTTCGACACTATATTTTCTAGCCACTGTAGTAGCGACTCAGATACGCTTCTACAACACCATTGTCATCCTAATTGCAATATACTACAGTACTGTGAAATATGGAAAGACACAAAGAAGATTACTTAGAAATTCAACGTTTTCCATCAACGCCGTCTTCGAAGGTTAATTAGAATCGGGGCCGCCTCTAGCAAACGCGGAGGACCTTCACAAATATACATTAATTATATAATGATTACCAGAATTTTATTCAAATAAATAAATTTAAAATAAAGATAGTTCTTTAATTCAATCTACGTATACCAAAAAATACAACAATAAAACTATTAATACATAAATTATTGAATTTTTTACAGCTTTAAATGGAATTTCACACATTAGCATCAATAATCGTTTTGTGATTAATTTTTCTGTTAAATCTCTGGAAATTTCCTACGGTAAGAAATTATCTGCGCTCGTATTTCAGTATTGCAAACTCTTACCTAATATCATTAATTAAAGATGTGACGAAAAGTACGATGAGCACCAAGGCTCATCGTATATTTCGTCACACTTGCAATATGGCAGCTGGTGATTTTTTGTTTTGTTTTGTTTATGGAGGGCACGAAGAGAGGGCCGTTTTAATCTTACCCATGCTTGGTTTCTGAAGATCCACAATTTGAGAGTACTGCACGATGTTTTGCAAATAATGAAGATGAAATCTGAAAGTCTACAGTAATAAAATGTCTCTGCATTCTGAGCTTTGATGAAATGAATGTTGACTCTAGACTCTGTTATGATCAAGAAATGGACAAAGATATACACAAAGAGAAATCGGAAACGTGCCTTGACACATCAGGTACAGATTCTTGAACAGTTCAAATTCGATCTCAGAGAGGTAGACTGAAGTCCTAACCGCTCAAACATCCGGCCGTCACCTTCTTATACTAGGTGTTGAAAGTATAACAAGTAGCGAGCGACACTTGCATATAAATAGTTTCTTATTGTACACTAGACACTTGCACATAAATCGTTTTTAGTTGGCCTGCAATGTACCATATCGCTTACATAATATATTATTTCGGTGAGAAATTGCCATTCGATGTATAGGCTACCATTTTGTTCACGACGCGTTTTCGGATTTATTGCCAATTATTTGCAGCACGACTGGCAGGCTGCCGGATTTCAACGAATTTGGGTAAAGGTTATACATATAACACATAGGAAAGATGGATGGGAGGCCGAGGATGTCCCGCTTGAAACGAGTTAGTGCCGGTTCCTTTAGGGTATGCAGTGGTGCATGCAAGTTTTAGAATACAATTGACAGTCAAACTAAGAGAATGCCAAAGGAAATGTTTGCAAAGTTACGATCTAAAATTCATCTTCAACATTTTATAAATTTGTCTCTGAATCTGTTTGCTACTCATGCTTGAATAAATAAATTTTCTCTGAAGTATGTTTTTGTGAATTTTATTTATTTACAAATCTATAGAAGTGTATTTTCAAATTAGTTATTTATGTCTGCTTCAACAAACAATAATCCTTAAGTTACAATTCAAGGAATAATCATTTTTAGAAAGAATTGATTTGCAAATTACTGGCATTTTAAACCCCAGAGATAATAATTTAGGGCCCACCAGTGGCCAAGCGGTCTTCGTCTCCGCACTTGAGTGGACTAGACCCTGAACATTGGCGCTCGGACGGTCTGGCAGTTTTCCGAGTTTTCTCCACGTCTGTGACGCCTGAATAGGGGCCAATTTTCCTTAAAAAGTCCTCCCGGAAGGCATTATTTCCCCGCGCATTGGCCATTCTATAAGGCCGGCTCTTCGGTCGACTACCTAGAGACCAACCACGAGCCAGAGCCGGCTTAAAAATTTGATTGATTTCAGAATCAGTTCAGTTCACGGGGTGCTCATTTTGCGTGCGCATTAGGTTTCTCTTTTAATCGTTGTGCACATGACGTCACCGTCGAGAAACACGCTCGGAGAAAGACGTGAGCATCGACATACCGTGGTGATCTTTATTCGTTTACATTCGAAATTAAGTTTTGATTGGTATTCGGAATACAAGGTGAAATTTAATATTTCCAAAGTATCTGTCTGTTAAATAGTGTGAAGACTACCATTTCCCCCGTCCAAAAATATTTCTATATATGCATTTGTAAACTGTTATTTACGACATTTGTAATAAATTTTGTTTAATCACTTTATTTCAACTTTTTTTGCTAATTATGTATTCGCTTGAACTTTGTTAAACCTTAACTGTATCTTGAACAACAACCGAAATTGTTGGAGGAAATTCGCCTATTTTACCGATCTAGGGTCCCTTTTCCAAATTTTAATATCTACTTAAAATAATTTAAAAAGACGAATTAGAATAAAACGGTTTATTATCCAACTATCAGAAATCTTACAACATGACAAGGAAGAGAGGAAAGAGCAATTAAATAATTAAAATTGTAAAGGATTAAAAAATATATACTGTATATGTATAAAAATAATGGGGAACATCTCACTTCCCCCCTCTTTGTTTTCGGCTCCGAATATCACGACGAGGTTCGGACTTCTTCAATGTTTACATATTAAACGAAGAGCTTAGTCAAAGCAATCAATGAATAATAATTGAGAACTATCACAAAGCAAAGATGAGTCACATCAACTCGATGATGACTCTACGAAAGTTCGATGTCATTACCAAATAAGAAAACATCGTCTCAGCTACGATGATCACACTGCCAATAAATCATCACCCGATGACGAACTTTATCATGCTGGAAGTGTTTAAAAGGAGAGCTTCAACCAGAGAAAGGGAGCAGAAAAAGAAGAGGAGAAAAGAAAGACACAGAGAGCGACAGAGAGAGAACGGATGAGCCCCAGAGTGAGAGTAGCTCAAGAGAAGATGCTGATGAATACCTTACATCACATCTTTTCACTGGATTAATTCCTAGTATTAGAAGCACTTCAGATGATTGAGGGGAACTCAGAGCTGCAAGAAATGACTTCAGAAATTTCTCCATCTCGTCTGTCAGTACCTACAGCTAAATGTTCTGAACAGGAACTGCACTACTTAGCTGGTTATATTGCTTATCGTTGCAAGCAAATTAATATTTCTCTTGGTCATAATAGTGAAGAAATGAAATTCTCTTCACCTCAATTGAACAATGACTGGATAGAAAAGTTGTCGCGAGGTGGCTTGATAATGCCGACAGATAGCTGGCTGAACATTGTAAAGCAAATGAAAGTAACATTTTCGCTGTTTGCTGGAAACAATATTTTCAAAGTGAGCAATGTCGTTAAGGGCCTCTGCGAAATTTTATCAAAGAAGTTTCCACATTTGCATCTCCAAGTAATAAAATTGTATGTCAGAACAAGACTTTTATATGGAAACGTTATATAAATGCAGAAAGCAAAATCCAAAGGTCTGCTAAACAACACCAAAAAAAGGCAAGAAAGTAGCAAGCTTAATATGCTTGCACATCCAGACATTAAAAAATTTATAATTATATATATATATATATAGCTCTCTTAATGCAATGTTTTGCTTAAACCAGTGTAAATATACACGTTATTTAATATCTAGCTCTACAGCTATATCTATTGTAATACCTACATTAATTTTGTATTGAATAAAAAAGCAAAAATGTATTTTGTTACTTGTAAAGCATTGGTATTTTTAAAAAACTTTAGTTTTGTAGAAGCATATTTATAACGAAAAAAAATTTCTAACAATTTTCATATGGATGTTTAGACTTTTCTTCTTTACTCGGAAAATATCATGGTAAAAACATGTTTATTTGCCTGAGGAGCAGCCATGAGGTAAAGTAACGATTTAATTGCTTGTAGAATCCTTTTTCTCTAATTAGTTTTGTCATACGTCTGACTTGCGAGTTGCGCTGCCTTATCTCTATATACCTTGCAGACAACATCTGGAGAACAAGAAAAAATGAAGACAGATGAGCAAGACCAAACGTCACATATCTGAGAAAATCGTACTGCGAAAGCGCAAACTCTAATAGATACGTTGACGAAATTTGACCTGTATTACCCGAACCAGACCATCAGGCAATTAGTCAGAAGGGAGAGAAAATTGTAAACAAGGTTGTAAAATACTTAGCGGGCTCTAGAGATATGTGGTTCGTTTAGTATAAAAGCCAGGTGTGTGTGACTAATGTATCAGGGAATCTTTACAAATTAATTTTCTTTTGTTTTGTTGGAAAATTTGAAATTTTATTATAATTTTAAATTTGCAATGAACAAAAATTTAAACAATGGTTTTATTTTATGTTTTTGATCGAAATCGAAAAACAGATTGAATGTAGCGCAAATTTTAAGCGAGATATTACAGTTGTATCAGTAAAAGTGGTTTACCTGCATAACACCGCATTGTTGATAAGAGAACGCTATTATTTATATATGTCGAACAATATGTATAAAATAGTGACAGTCAATTCTCAATTTAGAATCATGTAAATAATAATTATTAAACAAATAACTAAATTAAGACAATATTCATCTACATAAAGCAAACATCAATTTCACTTACGCGAATGAATTCCCTGGATCTCACAAACCCAGTGTATTCACGCAGTGTTTTTATAAAAATTGTGTATATGTATATTTTTCACTGGCTTATTATCAGCGAAAGGTTTTAACTGTCCTACATTCCCCGAACCGCACTAATCCCCGCGGTTAGTCAGGAAGGGAGAAAGAGTAGATTGTAAACAAGAAACTTTACTCTAGAGAGGTGCAATTTGTTTTGTATAGAAGAAAACACAGATTAACTGTAGAAGAAAACGTACATGAGTGAACTTTGTTTCGCTCTTTGTAAAAAAGGTATATTTCCTACAGATTTCAAATTTTTTGAGTGTAATCTTTAGACACTTAAAAGAAGGTACTGAGAACGGTATTTTTCAGCATTTAGTAGTCGAAAAACTACACGAATTTAAAAAATGGCTGATGTCTCGAGGGTCACCGCTCTCTTAACCGACATTTTTCATGCGTAATCACATCTATCACATTTTTGAATTAACCTAGATTTTTGTGAAAAATTCATTGCATAAAAATACCAGTTAAAATAACCCCCAAATCTTTAAAATACTTAATTTTCCTACTTTATTGAAAGATATTAAAAGTTAAAACGTTAACAAAATCCCCAATACCCTGAAACCTTTCGATTCATACATTCTCCATTTACAATACAGACAAAATGCAACTTGCATTTTGCAGTAAACTTCTCTTGTTACCCTTACAAAGACAAGAAATCTTAAATATCATATCTAAGCAACGTGATAGCTATATGGAATTATAGTTATAATATGCTATTTTCATAGATACGTATATTTGCAATCACAGTAAATATACTTAAATAGGCTGTTATGTACAGTACACATAACAAGGGAAAGTACAGTATTGGAATCGTGTCAAATTTGGCCCTCTGAGATTTTTGCAAATCTCCACGTTTTGAGACCTTTTGAACCCCCAAAAATACAAAAAAAAATCTCTCTGTGTGTGTGTTGGCTTCTATTTCGTTTAATATCTCAGGATGGGGTAAAGGTTAAGAAACAAAATTTGGCATGGTAATTTGTATATAAGGGGAATTGATGATATTAAATATTGGTGGATAAAGGTCGAGGGGATGGATAGATACAGGGTGCTGACGTATCTCGAGTGGGATCTGAATTATTAAAGATTTTATTTATTGTTATAATTTACAGTTTTTAATTTTTAACACTCATCTCTGTCCTCAAAATTAAACCTTTTGCCATTTTACAATAATCAAAAATACAGAAAGTTTTAATAACATAACAAATGACGCGCCATACACAATTTGATTTAATTATTACGTTTAATAATACAAAAGTTATTTCTTAAATAAACTCTCATAACAGCCGGGAAAGCTATGCAACTCATTGTTAGATTTTTTGTCGGATATATAGTATACACGTGTAATGCAATTAAGATGCAACTATGCGGATGCGAATCTAATAGCGAGCGAGAAGTAAATCTATTATTTTAGGAAAAAAATTGTATTCTGGATTCGTGATTTAGTACTAAAATAGATCAAAAGATGTCGCTAAGTGTTTTAAAGCTTGCTTATTTGGTAAATACACATACTGTAGTAAAGTAAATAAATCTATGAACAGAAATTATTATGTATTTTCCAATATTTTTATTTCATTTTTCTATTATACATTTTCTATAATGTAAAATACAATCTTTAATTTATCAAAAATCTTTAAGTTTGTAGTGAGTTTGGGCATAACGAGATTGAGACAATAGTATTATTATTATTTAAGGGAAAAAAGTATAGCTAATGGATAATTTATCTGTTCAATAAAAAGTTTAATAATATAAATATTATTTAGAGAGTGCATAATGTATTGTACATCTCTAGCATTTCGGCACTAAAAATTCCGCTGGTGGACAGTAAATAACTTTTAAAAATTGCCAACAGTATTGTTTTTAATCAATTTTTATTAATGTTTAAAAATTTTAAGCTAATATTTATATTGAAAATGTTTAAAAAATATACCCCCTCCCCGATGCCGTAAATCTATTACAGTATATTCCTCCTCTTTTTCTAAATTGCATACAACTTGTTATTTATCATTGTAATAAACGTTACAGTATATAATTTTTTATAGAAATATTTTAGTATTATTTTTAAGTTGAAATCTTAATTCTTTTTAACTTTATAAAGTTTATACTTACAGAATTCATAGTTTGGGCATTTAGATGGATTTCATGGCTCTAAAAGAGAAGATATTGATGACTTAGAGCAGTGATTTCGGCTACGTACCACTATAGTAACGAATTATTTTAAACTTATACATTTTCCTGTAAATTATATATTTCGGATGAATTCTCCTACTTAAACTGTGGTAAGTGCTGCACGGATAGTTTGCACAAGATATTTTTGAGGGGGTCATTCGGTACTTAACAAAACTTTAAGAAGAGGTATACGGACGTCAAATCGTTGAGAAACACTGCCTTAGATGACAGTTTCTTTAAAAAAAAAAAAGACATTCACTTTATGGTTGAAGGTCTCTTAGAGGATTATTGAAAAAGGGTGAGGAACGTCATATAACTTCCTAATTGACAACTAATTTAAAATAAGATTAAGCATCTTAAAAGTTAGCTCCAGTGCAAAGTTAATTTAAGTTTCCGTTAATAACTCATGTGTCTTTTGTTAAAAATTTCTGAAATTTTGCAAGTTACATTTTGATCTATATATAAATTATTAATGTTTTTTTTTTCTTTTTTTATTTTAAAACCTTTAAATTAAAAACATCATAATTTTTCAGTACTTGTACTGTACCTGATTAATTAAATTTGTACCTGAAAATTAATTTTTCTGATTAATTAATTAAGAAAGTTGTCACTTTTGTCAATAGTTTACATTATTTTTTATTTTATTAATTACGTAATCCCGACGTTTTCTATAATATACATTCAGAACTTCATAGAGATGAGTTAAGCCCAATCACAAATATGTGACTCCAGAAAGCCATCAAAAATATTTTAAAAATTAATAAAAACAGATTATCATCACTTATGATAAAAACATTTAATTTATATTAGTTTTATATCATATTTCTCATATAAATAAATTAAATTTTAGGAATTTATGTTGTCTGGATCCCAAGATAAATAGCCCTACTGGGTCTATCCTGCCTTGTATTATCATTCTGTACTTTGAATTAAATTAACTGCATTTAAAACATTTAAATAAAAGCAAGTAAATTTACTTGAATATATTTTTCTATAAGTTAAATTAATAAAGAGTTAATTTATAAACAAGTTTTATAAGTTAATTTTGCTGTACCATTGGTAGTATAATTCAAGTTATATTATTTATTTAAATGAATATTTCTGATATTAAACTTTAATTTTAAAATAAATTAAAAATTTTATTATAAAAATTAAGGTTTAATATGAGAAATTTTTCTTAAAATATTACACAACACACACACATATATATATTTATTTTAAATAGATAATTTAAATAACCAGTTGAGCTCTAATTATAACTTAACTAGTTTTACTACTTTAAAAATAATTTAATAATTAACAAAAATATATATAAAAAAAAATACTTCAAATTAAATAGAAATTTTTAAGTATTTTATTCTTATATATTTAATTATTGGGGGAAAATAGCATTTACTTATGAAGTACGTTAGCCTTTTTTTTCCCTCTATTGAAGTTATAATAATTTCCTCAACCGAAACACGTTTTCCGCATAGGGAACGTGTTTTTTACGGTGACGTCACACGCATCGCCCGGTCACGTGACTCCCCACCACGTGATCATTTTTAAAACTAGTCTTCTGCTTTTTTAACAGCTTATGCAGTCAGTCGAAGGCATTTGGGGTAGAACGAGCGCACCTTGTTTATCAAATGTGGACATTCACTAAATGTCGTGGCTTCTTGTCTTTCGCGTGAAGACAAATTTTTATTTTGTTTAATTATAAAACCAGAAAATTAATTAATTAATTAATTAAAAGATGTATTTTAATCGTAAATGGAATTTTTTATGTTCGTCATGTCTTTATTTCGCGATTGTAACTGTAACAGGTGAGTCAAAATCAAATTTTTACTTGTTTACTCCAGTATTAATTGCTTTAAATGTAATTAACTAATAGTATTTAGGTTTAATTCAGTTTTTTTAATAAATACAATTTATTAAAATAACTTTAAGATTGTTATTTTCGTGTGTTACGCACTGTTAAGTGTAATAAACTTACTTTTACGTGTATGTCTTTAAGTTTACTACACTTAATAGTGTGTAATGTATAGTCTACAGAATTAAAGATTACTTCATCGCACTTGAATGTTTTTTAAAAAAACATACAGTATTTAAATTTTAATTTTGTTTCTTAATACATTTACCTTATTAAAATATTCTTAAGGCTGTTATTTATGCAAGTAACTGTAACACGTGTTTTATATTTTAAGCAGTGTTTACAGCATAATTTGTCACTTTAAAGGCATGTGTTGAATGTATTTTATATGTTTCTAAGCTAATTTAACTTATTAAAGTATCTTTAAGATCTTACTTTCTGTACCTTATGCACTATAAACTTACTTTAATGAAGGCAGTCACTTATACATGAGGTAATCTTAACATTTAAATATTTTATAAAACATTAAATTATAATTTTTCTTCTCTTATATTATAAATGCTAACCGGAAAAAATAGGACAAGATAATTTAACAAGGACACGTGAATCACGTGTAATACGTCAAAACTTTTCAACTTGCATAATTTGAAAATTATAACTGACTTTTCTTATCGATAAAAGCATTTATTATTATAAATTTCTATGTTAAATACCGTATTAATATTATAGAAATATAAAGAATGTCCGTCTGCTTGTCTGTCCTCTTTACTTTTTACATAATTCTTTTTAATAAATTATTTAACGATGAGCTAATTGTTTAAATAAGTAAAAAAATTAATTTTAAATAGTTAAGAATTAAATCAAATAAGGAAAAATTTAATTATTTTAATACTAAATCGTCTTAGGGAAATTATGTACAGAAAATAAGTAAATTCTAATTATGTTTAAGCTGATTTAAAAATATGATTATTTATTAATAATTTTATATAATTAAATAGCATTATTTTAAAGAATAAGCATAATTAAAAAATTAGTTTTCCTTTAATTATATGGATTTTGATGCTGACTTAAACACGCTACAAATACACACAATCCAATTTTAAACATAAATGTTTCAGTAAATAATAATTTAGTATTATTAATTGTTATATTTAAAATTCAAATGTTTACCCCCCGCAAGTATCTGGTAGATTGATATTGTCGTTAAAATAATTAATGAAGAAAGTAAAAATAAAACAATACATCGAGAATAGCTGTAACAGATACCTGGAATGAACAGGTGATACACGAAAGACGGGATAGAAGGAAAAGGAGGTCATACATAACGAAGGACGTCTAGTTTTAAGTTGGTAAGGAGATAAAAGTAGAGCAATGGCCATACAAGGTACCAATGTCCAGAGTATTGTTCTAATGAAGATCTGTTACGTGTTAAATAAAACAAAATTTGCATTAAAACAATGATCTAAATGTCTTATCGTTGTAAAGATCAAGCTATTTTTATATATGATATTGTTTACTACATTTTTCACTTTTCGTGTATTATCAGCAATTATTTTTATACCCGATATAAGTACTATTTTCAAATTTTTCATTTATTCTGAATTATTATTTTTATATTTAATACTGATTACTTATTTTTGAAAATATATTCTGAACAAATATTATATCTGATATCTGTTAGTAATTTCTCCATTTTTTAGTACATTTTGAACACTATTTCTACAACTGATATTGCTAATTTCCCATACATTCTAAGCAATTACACTGATAGTGCCTACTAATTTCGCATACATTCTAAGCAATTATACCTGGTAATGTTTAATAACTTTTCCATTTGTCTTACATTCTGAACTATTATTTTTTATATTTTCATATATTCTAAATATATTCCATTTGATAGGAAAATAGTGTTTACCGGTTAAGAGTTTTGTTAATAAAATTTAATTCGAAGAACAAAAATGTATGCAAATGATCGAGCACTTCCTGTTTCTACTCAATGATTAAATGTAGTGATGGATAATAATAGCCATTTTTTTTTTTAAAAAAAAAAACCTAATTTATAATGCACTTTTAATATTAATTTTAGTGAATAATTTATCATTTTGAATTCTGTTACACACGCAACAGTCAAAAAATACTGTTTTAGTGTTTGATATATCATTTAAATTGCTTTATGCATATCCGAATGAAAGCAGCGTGACTAATTACCATATTTTAATTGTGGCATACAATGATCTGCATCACAGTTTTGTGAATCAATAGTTTTATTTACCGATTGATTCTAATTATTCTATAGGTAAAGTTATTGATTTCTATATTCTAAGGACTGTTTTAAAAATTAATTTGGAGTGTATTTTAATTGGTATTGCTTCCTGTGATTCCTGTTGACTATATTCTTTCTAAGTGTTGATTCTTAGTGATTCCTATTTAATCTCTGAACAACGGTTGCTGACGGAAAGTTTAAAAAATGACCGCTGTTATAGGAGGTTCGACTATATCATGAAATTCATACGAGGGAGGAGCTGTGTATATTTAAAATTGAACCTTATTAGACAATACACACTATAATCTGGTGTAAAAATAACTGTTATAAAAATATAATTAACAAAATTAGAGATATTTAAATTTAAAATTTCATTAATTAGGTAAATAATTGTTGATAAAAGTAGAATATTTGAAGTTTTAGAAAGTAGATTACTTTCTAAAGATTACAAAAGCTTAACGTATTGAGCAAGCATTTTATATTCTCTCTTTGCTATTATTTTCTAAATTAGTTAGACCTATTTCAAGAAGAATAATGTGTTGAGGAAAAGCACAGCAGCGTGAAGCCTGAATATAATTCTAGAAATATCAACCTGTTGATTTATTCTTATTAAACAGAGAACCAATTCATTTAGTAATTACCTTAAAAATTGATTTATTCAAAAAAGTACTGTTTAATTAATTTAATTTATTGATTAATTAGCATAAAATTTAGCGTTAATATTTTTAAAAAGTGTTTAGATATTTTCATTATAAATATGTAAAATTGTATGCTCATGAATTTCTATAAATAAGTGATAAAATGTAAGGCCTGGGATAGGTAGAATGAGGTCATATCCGTTACCAGAAATCATAAAAATATGCGAATAAAATCAATAAAACATATAAAAACAGATTTTTCTCACACACCAAAGAAAATTTGGTTTATATTACGTTAATTATAAGAAACTAAATTTTGGTGTCTTTTGTGTCCAGGACTAACGTCAAATGGCATTTCTTGCCTTCTCGGTTGCTTGTTTGTACACAGCAACGCGACACGTGGGCGATCTGCTGAGGGGGGGGAACCCCACGGGAGGACTTTCTAAGGAAAACTGACTCCTATTTAGGTGTTACAAACGTGAAGATAACCCTAAAAAATCCACGTGGTCAGCCCGTTGGCGAGGCGTTAACCCACGACCATTGTTTAGTGGTTTTATCCACTCGGCCACTGGTCTTGCCTTCTCAATCTGGGCTTTATAACATAAATGTTGTCACCACGACAATTAATCGTATTGCTTATTGTTGTTACTCCTAGATAAAGAGGTGCTAACAAGATCTTTTGGCACATAAGAGTTTCAAAATTTAGTTTTCTTAGACAAAAAGTATATATATCTCGTTAAAATGGTAAAAAAAAAGTTATTAATCATGTATCTTTATGATTTCCAGAGAAGGTGGAAGGTTTTATTTCTGACTGGTTCGAGCCTCCTCACTTCCTCGGGCAAAGATGATTTATGCATAGTGCATTTATTTATTTATACGTAATTTAGATTGTTATACATGAAGCAATTTTGTAGGAGCCACACAAACAAATATGCAAAACATGCGAGGGCGATCCAGTTTTTTTCCCCCATTGTTGGACCATTAGCACACAAATAGCGATAGATTGAAAACTGAATGCCCAAAAATGGCATGATGTACTGTAATAAAAATAAATTTCGTAAAATATAAATAGTAAAATAGGTATATAAAATTTTTTTTTTCTACAATTCAATTTTTAAGCGTTAAAATATTTGGATTTTTAACCGATTGCTATAAAATTTTAAGGTAGGCCTATATTTATTATCCTACAAAGGCTTTGAAAATATAATAATATTTTATATAATTTCTTAGGAAATTGCTTTATATGAACTATAATCGAATATAAGGTGAAGAGGTGAATAGTTTCAGGTTAAGTTCTTTTAAGATACACATAAATTACATTATTATAGTCATTAAATTGAAATATTCATTCAAAATTACACCAAGTATCTGTTATTACATGGTTTAAAAATGCTTAAAATTAAATTTAAAAAAATGCTTGTAATGCTCATTACAAATGCTGACAACATTATAGGTCTTAGGCCAATAACATGTGACATGTAAGATCATCAGGAAGGGAATATACTAAAAGTTGTATTCGTTGAATGTCACGATCCGTTATGAACTTCCGCAACAAACCGATGGCAATGAACTGAAACAAATTCGGCAAAGAAACTTTCACATCAACCGGAAACGAGATGAAATTACGGTACTTGAATCTAGATTGACGGGTTCTTGAGAGAAATTTAGGTTTTTCTTTTCTTAAATTGTCAAGAGAAAAACCAGTTTTTTTAAGCTTGATAGAAATTTCGATTAAAAAAAAAGTGTAGGTGTTATGAATTGCATTGGAATTTCGAAACCAAATTAATCGCCCACCATCTTTTCATATCAATTTTAGGTTATTGTCTATATATGATATAGGATTAGGACACGGGCTAATTCTGTTATTGTATAAATGTACAGTACATTGTACAATATTTGGAATCCACCATGTTCTTAATTTAAGACAGTTATAATGACAGAACACATCAGTGAATATGTTCCATTAAATCGTCTTGCAACGTAAAAAGAATGCAAAAAGAATTGGAATGTTGAATTTTTTTTTTCTTTAGAATAAATTCGGCATTTCTAAAA